TTTTTCAAAAAGGTAAAACTTTATTGCATATCTGGAGTCCAGGCCTTTTAATTTGACACCTCTTTTCGGAAAATCGAACGAACGGTGCGGTTATTATGACATTGATCAATTGTTCTCTACAGATGGAAACTCTGTTCGAAAAAATAAAACCAGTTTGCACATCTACAGGCCTAGCACTGACGCCCCATTTTTGAAAATCACGCAAACGGTGTAGATCTTTCATCCCGGACGAAAACTCACTGCGCGTGTTATATGTGTAGATAGTTAATATTTGGCGCTTCCATTTTTGCTAAGTGTTTGGCCGAGCTTCTCCTCCAATTTGTGTGTTTGTTATTACACAAATCCAGGAACCTGCAGTTTTACGCCACCTCCGAACTGAAAATGGATTTCTGTGAGTAGCTTTATCATGGCAGAAATACGATCGGAGGTTTTCAATGTTTACTATTTTCTCAGCTGATAGAAAATTATGCATCGCAGCAATTTAATCACACTCCAACTCGAATAAAACCATCTCTTCCATCAGAAACTAATGTGGATTCCAGCACACGCTGAACCCCCGGGAAATGAACTAACTGATGCTGCTGCTCAAAATTTGATCAACTTACCTGCATTCACGTTTAATTATCTTAAAAGAAATAATCTGCACAACACCATCAAGAAAGCAAGGTGTGAATTAACCATAAGGCTTTAAGGCAGATATAGACCAGCTTATTACGTCCTCAACGAACAGACTTATTGGGACTTTCCAATCCCTTGCACATTGTGTCATCTCAATTTGCGTGTGCATATATGGTTCTCTTTAAAGTAAAAGCTCAGTCATCAACTTATCACTTTTCTTAACCACAGCGCTGTGATGGAGGCAATTAATTAATATATTTATGTGTTTCATTTACACATAAATCTTCCCATTCAATGCTTTTCACTGCCAATCAATGGCATTAAATTCAATTCATTCGAGTTGTAGGTATATTTATGTATGCGCACGACACCCGTTTCAAGCATTCAATTACCCAATGAAAGCTTGAGTAATCAATCAAATTGACTTATGTCACGTGAACATACATATGTACATTCAATGTAAGAATGCGTGCATACTTTTATGTGTGTTGATTAACTATCCTTCGAAATGATACGAGTATTATACACATACAGGGCCGTAGAGAGGAATTTAGGGCCCGGAGGGAATCTCGAATGTGGGCGCCTAAACACATCAACCACTCATAGCTCAAGAACTATTTCATAGCTCAAAGAAGTATAGAAACTGAAAACCAAAAATAGTATGAAAGTAATGAGAAAATGGTAAAAGCAGAATATGCAAAAACAGTAACTGTGTACAAATTCAACAAATACATTTTATTAATTAAAAATCTATACTATTTATTATTCTGAGATAAGGCGCTTATCCCCAGCGATCTACTAATTGTGCAGAGACAAGTCTTGTATCAAATTAAAGGGTTAGATCTGAAACTTTGCACGAACATTTCAGATTTTAAAAATCATTAGACCACTTTTTTAATTATTTCCATGGAACAATTTTTAAAGTTTTACGTCGAACAAAGCACAAAGCACGCCCACAGCAACTTCTTGAAAGAGCGTTTTCGGAGCGCTCCGAATATATAAAGTGTTTTTTTGTAATCTAGTCCTTGAATTAAAATATAAATTTTCAAACAAGAAGAAACTGGAGGATTTAAGGAGCCCTTCTTACAAAATTATAGGTGAATAGGACTCTTTGCTTTTTGGGGCACCGAAATCACTCATTTAATTAGAAGCCGGTTTCTCTCTTTGCGGCAGGAAACAAACTTTGTATTCAAGATCCCCTCAATTGCTTCGTTTGTGTGACATTGAAAAAAAAAAAACAAAATCAAATATTTTTCAAACTATGAAAAAGTACCACTTTTTAAGGACTTCATCTATATTTCCTCATGGCTTAAATAATTTTTTCAACTAGTATAAAAATAATAAAAATTATTTTCTTCTTACTTTTTACAGTACAGTTTAAGGAAGTTCCAACGCTATGTGTAAACCTTAAGAAAGTCCTAAAGTATTTGTTTTGAATTGAAAATTCAAAACAAATTTTTAAAAACTATGACATTAGCGTACTGATTGAAGAAGTAAATAAAATCAATACAAGAGTTGAAAAATCAGTACTGCGCTGATAAAATCAGTACGTCTGGCAACCGTAGTCTAGCTAAGAAATTTGTAATCGGGAAATATAACGCCCACGCCCACCTCCCGTATAACGGTAATTTACAGAAACACGAAAACTACCATAAATCAGTAAGTACTGAAGCTAATTGACTCAAAATCGATTATTGCAATGACCACTGAGTAGAAAATTAGATTATTATAAATTTTTGGATTTTGGGCGTGGCTCCGCCCACTTCTGACCAAAAATGTGTACTTGTGTCTTGGTCACCCATTTATCAATTTCTACCAAAAACGGTATTTAATAACCTAGGCACGAAAAATTAGTTCGTTTAAAATTATTCAAATCGGACTAAAATAGAACCGACTTCCCGTATACTGGAAATTTTGGGATATACGAAAACTCAGATAATTCAATAACTGAGGACGTTCACTTACTCCAAGTTAATACTTACAACAATCTCTCCACAATAAATAAGACTGTTATAGACTTTTAGGCAGTTTAAAGGAATTTTGAACGACGATAGTTGATACCTGCGCCGGGTATATAAAATTCGGTTTCATCCGAACTCATACTTTTTTACTTATTGGTTCTAGAGAATGTTTCTTTCACTTGGAACCCATATTGTTATTCTACATTGCTGTGGATTATTTTAAATATTTGTTTTTGGAAATAATCATATTATTTTTAATTTTAAAATCCTTTTTGAAAAATCCTGATATCAGAGAGAAACTAAAAACGCGATTTCACTTTATTCGTTGTTTCAAAATTTTTTATTTTTATCGAACGGTGCTGCAGGAGCTTTTACAACAAAAAATGGTTTTTAAATAAATTGTTGAAAAAAAAAACACTAAGAAACCTGTCGAATTTCTGTAGTACCTTGCACTTTTCGTATGTATTATATTGTTCAATCCTGACAACGCAAGTTATTAAGTGACCTCCATTAAAACCTCGTTAATACAAAGTTTGGACACAACTTTTATGCACACATACAAACACAGAAGAAATATAACTTTTAGGACTATAATCAATTAGCATAAATTGAAGGTTATAACTGCATAAATGTTAATTATTCCAAGCCATATGCATACATATGAATACGAATAAATACTATGATAAGTTAATAATGTTTAATGGCCTCAAATCAGCTTTTACAAACGGCACTACAAAAGCACTTCCAGTAAATAACAGCCTACCAAAATGTGATGACCTTGCTTAAAGGACGCCACACAGTGAGTAATGAGCGGAATTAATTCAATGAGTCAAAGATTTTCAAGAAGCAAATTAGTGCCAAAGATGTACACTGAAGGCTTCCTATATACTATTACTATAACAGTGTGATTAAAAGCAATAATATTCATGCCCAGCCTTCTATTAGCGTATTACCTAATATTTGTTGGCGTACTTGAGGTTTTACTCCAGTTATTAAATAATTCCATACCCCTATTCGAAATTGCCCACTGTGCAGACTTGCGTCGGCCCCCTCCCCAGACCGTACCTGCGGACGCCCTAAAAATTCAGACTAAAGGTTTGAAACTTTAGATGAAAAGTTGTTGAATTTTTCTAAGTATACAGTTCGAATTATGTGGTTTTGATTAAAGCATGAACCATATTTTCATAAAAAAAAAAAATTTAATAAAAATGTTTATCTTGAAACACATTTCAAATATATAACAAAACAAAAGCGTTGTAACAACCATGCGCTCACTTTCGATCGACAGTGTACGTCTGGGGAAATAAAGAAAGTAATGATACATTAATCCATTTAATTGGGCATGTCGTAAAGAAAAAGCTAAAAAATTTCCGCTCAGATGCCTTCTGCTATTCAAATACATGAACGCGTCTTGCATGCAACAGATGAATCATCGAAGGAAACTGGTGAAACTCAAAAAAAAAATAAAATCCCTGCGCCATTAAAACGTAAAAGTTTTAAACTATTTTTTTTCACACTAGCTGCTATAACAGCTGAAAACATGCGGGAAGCTTTGTTCCTTCACTTCAACTAAAATCACAACTGCTGGGTAAATCGAAGTTGCCGCAATGCAGTTGAGTCAATCCAAGGACGAGATTGTCAGCAAAACGCCAACCAGTTTCTTAGGAAGCATAGAGAAAATAGCAACCTCAAACAAAAAAAAAAAAAAAAAAAACATTCCAAGCACGCCTGGCGTGTTTCGAGAAATGAAGTGACGTGATAAAGAAAGGAATCGCAGGTATGGAAGTGTTGATTTTGTGTCATCTAAAATTTCAGAGGACAAGCAATGCGCTCAAACGCTCCTTCTACTATGTAGCTAACACTCCTATGGCCCACTTTCTAATTGGCTGTCTTAAAGTGGGAGCGAAGTGCAGCTGCACACTTATTTACACTACAAACGTACGCACGCCCAGACGATGAAGCGTTGAAAACTTCAATTATGTTTTAATTGCAGTGCTCTTAAGACAACGACGACATGGCAATTAAAGCTTGAACGTGTTGCCAAGATGTTGTGCCAGCATCAGCATGTTGCTGGCGCATTCTAAGCAGCCAAGTCAAGTTTGTGCTCGATATGTTGTTGGTGCTGCCGCTGGAAGGCCACCAGCGTGTATGTATTTATCTGAAGAATTAGTTCTAGCAAGTGCTTATTTAAGCAATTTTTCACTGTGCAACTTTCAGCTCTGTGCTGGCGTCCAAAGTATGCTTGCTGCTAAATTGCTGCTGATAAACTTTTCAGATTTGCCACTTGGCGCATGGTAACGTACTGGCCTACGTTTAAAGCGCATATCTGTTCACTTTTAGTTTAATAGACTAATAAATCGGTATTTTTTATTTTTCTTTCTTTATCTTTCTTCCTATCGCGCGCGCGCTACACTAATTTAGGCTTAAATTGGAGTACTACGAGCAGGCCTGTGCGGTGGACAGCGTGACAAAGAAGTGCGCTGGGCGACCGAGTGGCTGCCGCATTGCCATGATTGGCATACTAGGCACAATGTTGCGCACAACCTGCGCCTGTCAGGGCACCGATCCGCAGCATCTCTACCAGTGTGTGGGCTGGCGGCGTTTACTCTGGCTCAATCCGTGTGTTGGTGAGTACACATTTCTCACATACATCCGTACATATGTATTTTTGGTAAAAGGAGAAGACTTCATATTGCAAATTAATTATTAATTTGTGAACTTTATTAAATATACTTATTTTATGAGCATTAATAATTTTTGTCGTCTGTTGCTTAATTAATTTTCTTCTATTTCCCCACAGTCGAAGCTCAAAAGGACTTCCACATGAAACGTCTCGCCGAATTGGGTTACCTAACGACAACAACAACCACGACCACAACCACCACTACAACAACAACCCGAGCGCCGCCACCGCCTCCACCGCCGCCAGTGCTGACGACGGTTACCACCACAACTACACATCGCCAACCGCCCACATCGCCACGGCAGACATCACGCAAGCAGGCAACACACATCTTTCGGGGATATCCGGTAAGTGAAGTGGCTGGCATAATGATGCTGTTAACGATTACATCGATTAGCAATAAGCCGGTGCATTTGTATTCATTCAGTGATGGTTGCTGCAATTTCCATTATCCTTGAGGAAATCTCTTCAGTGTAAGGTTTGATTATTTTCGTTTAATACAAAAAAACTTCTCACTTTTTACTGCTTTTCTTTTGCGAATTTTGTTAGCGAAAGGAGAATTGTACTTGCCCAAAAAAAAGGGATACTTTCTAGAAGCATGGTCCTCATTCTAATTGTTACCTATAAACAGTGCCTAAAATTGTGCAACGGTTTACTCTTAAAAAACTAAGCACAGCGCAGCGGAGTATCAAAAATGTTTTTCTACCTAAATTCCCACACAATATTTATGTACGAGTATATCAAAACCACTCCAATTGTTTTTACCAAGGCTGATTTTCAAAGAAAAATTACTACATTTTTAAATTCTGCTTCAAGAAAGGCAAGGTTAAAATAATTCTTTGTTTTTCATGTGTCACAAAAAGCCATTCATGAAGGGTTCGATCAATCGCAATGAAGATTGGGTCACATTCGCTCGAAACATTATGGTCCAAGTAGGAGAACACTTTACAAACGGCGGAAAAAGCCAGATTTCCTATCAGCCCAATCCTAAATCATTCCCGTAGATCCGACGTCGAAATTATGAGAAATGAGACTTTGAACTCATTCTGGCATACATATTAGACATTGGGCTATATATAATGTGCCCGGCGCGACTATAGCGGACCATTTTTTGGTAAAGCGTTAACTCCTGGTTAAAATTTGGGCTTCAGTTTTCCATATAATATGAAAGATAAGACCTCTTCCCGATTTATACATAGAAGGCTGATTCCGAGGTCGATGGCGCGTATAACGGGGTCGCCTTTCTTGTGGAGTGGACAGAGTACACTTAAATTCCAGTCGTGGGGCGTTCATCTAACCATATTCTGCATAGAAGCAGCTTGGTTTTTTTTGAGCCTCGAAATTGCTAATCGTACCTCGTTATACTTAGTCGTTGACTGGGAACTCGGGACCATCTCCTCCGCTGTTATCATTGTTTCTCTTAATAACATAAACACGCTCCGGACACCAGCTCCTAGGTCGTCGTGGTTGGTCTTATAAAAGTTCGGCCATAATTTTCGTCGCCAAAATTCTCTAAATGAAAAGTAATGGGGCCTAAATTATACAACATGGAATTGTAACAGATGAAATGTGTAATCAGCGAAATCGAGCAGTATTCATCATGTTCAAAAGACTATAATTTGAGGGCATGGGATGTCAGCAACCCACTGTTGCTTCGTAAGTCTAGGTTTATTACCTAGCGAATTCGGTTGGCGCGTTACTATCAAAATAGTTTCCAGTGGTCAATTGTACAAATTCATATGGCGGTATTTTGAACAATTTCAATGGATTTCACTAAAAAAAGAAGCACCATAAGAGCCTCCATTTTCATTTTTATTGGAACTTATTTAACGTGTAGAGTCCCAAAGTGAGCGCAGAGCACAAACCAGGGTACATTAGTCGTTTAATTTATGCTAAAGGAAACCGGAAGCCAGTAATAATACCAAAAGATAAGAGCATCCCGACTAGGTGAATCATATTTTTTCGTTTTACAATAAAATAATTTTCGTCCACTTACCAAGCCGGGTTGAAGTTCGAAAAAAGTTTCACACAAAAGTTACATTTTTTTCCCTCAAAATCCGAGTCTGTAGTAATTCAGTTTAACCCACTTCTGATCGAAACCGAAAGCCGGTAATAACACCAACAAATAGTGGTCTAGGCAACTCTGTATAAGTACATGCTTCGTATGCAGAAATGTACGTATGTAATAATTACAACAAGTATTCCATTATAACTTGAAGTTACATATCGAAGGTCCTCTGCAATAATGACACAATTAAAAATTCAAAAAATATAAACTTGTCTAATCCATTTCCAGTCCTAACTAAAGTAAGTAGTAAGAATTGCTAAAGTAAATACTAAAGATTAGACATGGAATCGACAAGGATTAGTCACATGAGGTACTTAACAGTAGTAACAGTTTTTATCTCTTGAATTTTGAATTGTATAGTTATTGCATAGTCCATCTATGCGTATATGTATGAATAAACCGGAAACAAAAATGATTTATAAAAAACTTACCGAACATACATATACACACATATGTAACTATGTAAATACTATATATATGTACATATGTACTATATATACAAGTACATAAATAATCAAATTTTTATATTCGCGTTCCACATTTTTCTTATTTACTTCCATATTGCAATTATAACGAAACCAACAACACAACACTTTTGCCTCAATAACTCTTCAACAATGTTGCAACAACAACGAAAACAAACTATGATATTTGTTGTATCGAAAACTCAACCATTTTTAATAACCGACTTCCAATAACCCCAAACAATGAAAAACTGCAAAACTCGAAACGAAATATGGCAAATCTGAAATGCAGCCAAAAGAGAAATCGGAACCCACATCAATGGAGGACAATTATATCGAACAGCCAGATTCGATACCCTTGCATAGTGGAAATGATGAAAACGGAAATACCGGAAATGGCGATTATCACAGCGGGAAGGGGAAAGGCAACGGCAACGGCAATGGAAATGGAAATGGCAGAAGTAATGGTAATGGCAACAATGGCAGCACTACTAGTGCTGCCGCCAATGCTGCACGCCATGGCAAAAATGGCAAAAACAATAAAAACGGCAAGAATTCGAAACATAACAACAACAACAACAATGGAAACGGTAATAGTAATGGCGGCAATGGCAATGGTGGCCATGGTGCTGGCGCTGTTCACAAGAATGGTGCTCACGACGGCAACGGCCATGTCGCAACAGCGGAAGCTAAAGACGCTGGCGCAGCAGTTGTGGTAGCTCGTGGTAATGGAAATGATTTTGGCGATTTCGATGAACAAACGATTTCAGGAGAACAAATCCAAACAACCGAATATTTAGAAAAGAGTGTAACAGAACCGCCAGCCACTACGACCACAACATTGGCGACCACAACAACAACGCAACCGCCAAGTGAGTAGACAAAAAAATTATTATATTTTTTATGCCTACGCAAAAAACCGCATTACCAAAAAGCTGATTTGATTCAACACATACTTCATTCTAACGTTTATACTTCAGTCTTCATAGCGCACTCGATTAAAACGTATTGAAATGTAAACAAAGTCCGTTAGTTTTATTCGACATCTATTTAATAATAAATTTTGCGCGGTGGATCGAAATGGAAGCGAAAAAATCGGCCCACCCTAATACACACATTTACTTCTCATTCGATTGACTTAAAAAATGTTTATGAGTTCTATACATAAAATAAGCAAACACGTATCTATTCCACGGAGGTATGATCTCCCAAAGTTTGGATTTTTTCGTGATTCTGACCGATTATGTATGTATATACTTTCTCAGATCGTAATATTCCCGGTTCTACTCTTCGTCTTAACGCCGCTTTAATGCTTAAGAAACGGGATTACGATTTCTATATGGAAGGTGTTCATGATGGTCTTAAAGGTATTCTAGTTATAAATAGTCGAGTTTTTTTGAAGTTGATTTAAATATTGAATTAATTCTCTGTAAAATCCATCTTTTAAAAACGGGGGGTGGTTCAAGAACTATTTTTTTATGCACCTCGTTTTATTTTGAGTGAGTGAACAATATTTGGTAATAAGTTTTTCAAACTTTTTGTAAAAGTATTTACATATTTAATTGGTGAGAGTCACGAAGAAATTGAAATCTTGACAGATCATATTTATCTCCGAAGAAAAAATCCTATAATATGTGTTAGCTTATTTCATTTATAAAGCCCACAAAACAAATTGAAGCAAAACGGAGATATAACATCATTTTTTCTTCGAACATCCGATTCAATCCATTGTGGTTTGTTTATTTTGTTTTATTTTAGCTGTTTTTGCCAAAGTTCATATTTCGCTTTCCATTCATTTGTCGTTGGCTTCATTTGATTTGAATGAATCGCTCTATGACGTACAAGCATTCATTGTCCTCCTCTTGGTTTTACCATATATTTTTTGTCAATTTCTTTCCTTTATTTTCTTTGCGTCATGCAAACCCATAATTTCTGTTCTCTACTTTATTATTCTCTGTCCTGTCGAGTTTTTCAACAGCTACATATTTCATCAACCCTTTCACAAACAAATCTACATCATACGAGTTAGTACATACTAGGGATGTTGATTTTTTAGACTGGAATTTTCAGGATGCCATTATCACAATCCCGGAATTTAGATATTCACTACTTTTCAACAACTTAAATCTAAAAAATTGCTTCTATAATGTTTGAGAAGCCCTCCTACTATAAAATAAATAATAAATAAATGGGTTTGAAACCTCATTTTTTATTTAAAGTGGCGTTTTTATTTTTTCTCTCTGGTGTCAGGATTTATTTTAAAAGACTTTGTAATTTCAAAGATATGATTAATTCCAAAAAGCACCAAATGAAAGAAGAAATTTCTTTGGAATTAAAAAAAAAAATTAAATTTTTTTTGCATTCACAAGAACGAATACGATTTTTTTTAAGCTGATAAAGTTAGAATGAAATTCAAAGATTTTGTCGCGTTTATATAAGTCCTTAACGTATAATTTTTTCAAAAACAAATATTGCGAAATTTTAAGGATACAATTTTAAAAGGACAATTTCAATACATACCAGTCCTTCTGCACCAAAAACTTGAATCTGTTTAGATTTGTCAGGATCTCCTCTTTAATTTGATACCTATACTTTTGCATTTCACTGAATTTTTTTAATCTTTTTTGAATTACTAACGTCAGAGTGAAAAACTAAAAATGCAATTTTACTGAATTTGGCCCATGCTTTCGCGAATATATTGATTTTTGTGTGTAAAATTTACTATTGCACGGTGTTATATGTATAATGACTAGGCATTTATAAAAAAATATTAATTATTAAATAAAAAAAAAGAAATATATATTGCCATCAGTGCAAATTACAAATCCCGAAAACTTTTGGGATTTTTGGGGCCTTAAAAAGGCCGGGATCCCGGGATCTCACGATTAACATTCCTAGTACAAACATACATCATGTGGGAGTAAATTTTTTTATGTATGTACGAATGTTGGGCACTTTAGTTATTTTAAGTGAACCGTTCAGTTGTAGTTCTGTCACCTCAGGGAACGAGTTCATATAGTTCATTTAGTTCAATTGACGAATTTTATTTTTAAAAATAATTATTTTTATTATCACATATTCTATATACAAAACAAAAACTTACATATTGCTGTGCAATAATATTAAATTAGAAAGCTTGTTTGATTTTAAACCCATTCTACGCTAGTTTAATATTTGGTAGGAATGAAACCGAAAGCGAAACCGTAACCGTAATCTTAACCTGAAAAAGAACGAAACTGAAACCGTTTCGAGCACAGGTTTCAATCGGTTTCCAGAAATTAATAAAAATCAGCTGCAAGATCTAGCAAGCAAACATTTTTTTTCTTCAGTAGCATAAATCCGCGAATCGCTTTCCAAAATAAGAATTTGTAGCAGTTGCAAATTTAAAAATGAAGAGACCGAACTAGCGAACTAGTTCATTGTGATGAACTAGTGCTTTAGTTCATTTAGTTCAAGAACTACCCAAGCCTAGTATCTACATACATACTTGTGTATTCTACATACACACATACGCACATACATACGTATTTTTAGTTAAGGCCTTAAACAGCACAAACGTTTATTTCTGTCTCGCATTTAATTAATAAATATTTTTTACATTGTCTTCTTTATTTCCAGGAAATTGCGTTGTTCAGCGTCCACATCAATCAGATCAGTTAATACGTGAAGGATCCAGCAAGCGGGTATGTGAAAAAAAAACATTTCTGTATGTAAGCTATTTACTTAATTAATTTTGAGCGTCCATAAAGGTTTGCATACACACCACGAAAGGTAGAAAAAACATCCGAATCATGTTGAATACATTTTTGATGTTTTATTAAACTTCACAAAATTCTTTTCATTCACAGAACATTCATAGGTAGTATTTAAAAATCTGTAAAACTTTAGAAATGACACAAGTAAATTTAAATTTATTTTTCACCTTTTCTACTACGCACAGATATACTCCTTGGACGATGCTGAATGCAGCGAATTATGCAGCTGTGGGGAGTCACTAGCGCTCACCTGCCATGCTCTCTGCGTGCCTTTTGCACCCTGCCGCACTGCATTGGCATTCTACAGTCATGCATCGCCCGCATATCAGGCATTCCGTGGACGTTGTCTCTGCTATTCAGGTCGTTTTATATGCATGAAACCACCGCTGGGCGAATACACGCTGCCAGGTAATTTGAAAATTATTGATAACTTTGAAATATAATTCGGTTTAACTGATGAAAGTCAAATTTCAAAGAAAATTACACTCTCACTTTAGAATAATTAGCCAAATTTAAATGCTTCTGTTTTTAGAATACATTTTCAAATTAAAGATAAGTGCTTTTAAAATTTCGTTCAATCTGATTATATTCCTATGTGCTCTAGTTCTTAAACTGCAGATTGAGCTTGAAAAATACTTTTTCCCCTTACACATATTTAAATACTTAGCTTCCTTATTTAACTGTAGGCCTAATTTCATTGTGCCTGTAATTGAAGAAAGCTCGAAACTTCGAAATACTTATATACATAAAAAAATTTATTCTAAAAATTATGCCCTATAAAATGACTTTAACGATGAGTCATTATTTATGTACACATTAAAGAGCCACGCCCTGCAGTAAGGGGGAGCGACTACAGGACTGATGAATCGGTAGCTACCTGATAAACACCGTCAATTACCGAATTACCTTTACAAGGCAATGTCCTAGGCGGTAGTCACCATCGGCTCTCTCTGTACTACCGGGAGTTACTAAAGTAGTCACTTGCGTGATTTATGGGCACCCTCTGTCGTAGTTTTACGCTATTCTGCTTACGACCCTCCAGTACTGCTGGAGTCATTCGCTACTTTTGAATCGCTACTGCGCCGACTCCTAGGTAAGTAGCTACTCTATTAACCCGTGGTAGTGCACACGGTAAGTGCAGAGTCGAACCAGTCGGAAGCAGAATAGCGAAAAACTACGACAGATTAATTTTAGGGTTTTATTGTTAAAGAAAAAAAAAATTTTTCTCATTTTCATAAAATTTTTAGGAACTTATTTTTTCATGTGGAGCGACTCTGGAGCCATAGTTAACCAAGATATCATTGGTCCAGTAGCGGAGGGACGTAGTATGGTACCTTTCTGCCGCCATTGCTATTTGCTTAGTTGATACGTAAAGTGGTGGCACAATAAATGGGAACACGAAATTTTAACAAATTTTTGCTATATTTCTTGGTGTATTTATTGTTTTTTTTTTTTTTTTTAATGAAAGTTTTTCTCACTATCTCCCAAAAATTATGTAAATCCAAATATACAACTTCATAAAAAATTCGACAAAGTAGAATTTTTTTGAAAAAATGGTGTTATGCAGCTTTGTAGGCCGTCAAATCTTATTACAAGTTTAAATAAGCTGGGCTTACCGTAGATTTTCGGCCTTTTTTTTTGTTGACTGTGTAACGCATTATTATTATACTAAAATTTAAAGGGCTGCAAATTTCTATACATACAACAAATTTTCTAAAAAAATTAAAAAAATTTAAAAAATTTTAAGTTTTGATGAAAACTTTTTGAAATTTATGGAGTTTTTATAAATCTTGTAGAAAGTTAGAAATTTTATTTATACTTTTGTTAAATAGTGAGCTATACATTTAATGCAAAAAATAAAATGATTCTATTTTATTTTAACTTTGTGCTACTATTTTATTGTTTTTTTTTCAGGCGGTGTCTTTCTATTACTTGGCTATAGCTCTGCTGATGAAGCCCTCCTGCGTCCACACACAAATCTCGGCGTACAAGATGCTGTAAGAGCATTGCAGCAATATGTTACTACACACATAGACAACCAGGTACCAAAATTATTTAAATCTGAAGATTTTTTAGCATAAAAGTTAATATGCATACATATACACATACATACGTAAATATCAGCCACCTATTCAAGTACTAACAATTTTTAATTTTCAATTTTTTGTATGTCTTCTCCATTAATTTTTCTGCTATCCAAACATTTTTGCCGCTACAATTCCTTCGCCGCAGACTCAATGCACTCTAACGCTATTCAATATGACCGATGAGAATATCATAATTGCCGCTCGTCTGCCACATGATGCTAAACTCAAAGCCATTGAACTGCTGGGCAAAGAGAAGGTAATGATTACACAAATACATAAATCTATGAGCAGCGAATATTTTTTGATTGCCCTCTATTTAGTTTGCCCTCATAAATGGTATAGCATTTGAACCCTTTGCAATGAACTCTTATCAATTCACAAGGGCTCATCGCATCATCGCACGCAACCACCAACCAGAGCCAATCGCTTATTTGCTCTCTTATCATTTCCTCTTTCAGGACGAGTGCACTTCTATACTGAAGACCATTAGCCATCATATCAACACTGAACATCATGAATTGCAATCCCACCGACTGTTGAGCATTTTCAAAATGTCCGAAGTCGAAGTTGTTTGGCCAGAGAGTAGTCATGCGTCCGCACAGCTGCACAATGGACCCACAGCGTGCCTGCTGCCACTGGCGTTGCTGGTGTCTATCATCATAACAACGCTGCTACGTGATGGCCGCAGCTTGCAGTTGGGGAGCGGTGTGTGGCGCGGTGAAGGCTACGTGCCAACAACATGACCAATGGCGCATACGTAATCACAAGTAAGAGATGCACTACATAGCAAGCCATAAAAATATACTACTTATAAATTATAATAATAAAAATTTGTACATGCATAAATCGGAAATAAGTGAAAAAAAATAAAATAAAACTTAAAGCAAAAAAACAACCTAAAACTGATAAGCAAATTAGTTAATTTTAATGCGTAAGCTGTTAAAATGTTAAGCAAATAAAATTATGATTTTCAAATACATATAATATTATTTGAAGTGAATATACATACATACAAGCATAAAAAATTCTGCATAGTATAATATGATGACAACAAGAACTAAACAACTGCTTAGGAGGAGAGTATTAAATGGAAATTTTTACGTGGTTATAGGTTAATCGGTGTATAAAGAATTATGTGTAGTGCAATGCGTGCTGACCATTGGTATGTAAATAGTATACATGTATGTATGAATGAAGAAGGCATAAGAAAATTAGTAGTATGGAGTTAAGTACCTACATACAAATGTAAGTACATTAATATACGACCAATAGTAACGAAAGAAGCTAATTGATTGAGTGTTTAGCTAAAATTGAGGTTATTAAGATTTATGTGGAAAATAATAAGCTATTCAATAAACACAGGCATATATGTACATACCTACGTGCAGACATACACACATTTTTACATTCACACATTCAACTTAAATGATTTGCGTTTAAAAATTAATTTGATGTGAATTGCTTGATTAGAAATTTTATGGTTATTATCACAAAAAAAAAACATCGATTGCTTTCAAATTTCTGCTACACTGAGAAAAGACATTAGTTGCGCTAACTAAATATACGTTTTTTTAATGAATGTTAATTCTTTCCCAATTTCCGGCGATGGAGATTTTGGTGCTATTCGTCCAATTAAACGAATGTTTGGAAACAATAGCACAAAAACAGATTTGGTTTTTATTAACTCTAACTTCCATTGCAGTGCAGCTGGGTTACAAAAATTCCAAAGCAAAGGTTTGTCCTACGGGAAGGCATTGGTGTTTTTGAAGTAATTAAAAATTATTTATCTCACATGGAGAATAAGGGATATTTAAAAAAATTAAAATCAGTTTTGAAAAAAAATGAAGGTTTCATATTTTATTTTTAATAATAGTAAAAAAGTAGCAAGGAAATATCTAATTTTAAACTCTGTCCAGTCACATCAGTGATGTCGAAAGGTCATTAAATGACCAGCGGAGATCTTTAATATTTGAGAATATCAACGAACAATTTCCATTGTCCATTTTAATTTTTGAATGCTTGAAATAAACTCAATAGAAAACAAAACATTAAATTGTACTTGAGTTTTTTTATTGCTTTTTCGAGCATATTTACCAATGTTTTAATGCTTTTCTAAGCGCTTAAATTGGTCTTATTTTTTCTGGCTTATTTTTTCGGCCCTGCTTATCACATTTAATGTTGAGTGCAAAATAAATGTATGTACTAAACTCTTCTCTCAGTGCATTTTCCTATATATTTGCAGTAAAACAGCATAATTTTTCAAATTTAATTTTGATTTATGCTGAGATGTGAAACCATGAGTGTTAGTATGACTCATAAACTTTATATCTGTCTTCTACATTAAATCAGTACTCCTTCTAACTATGCCAAGCAGTTCACAGGAAGCTTGTTAAAGCACTTTGTGACTAAGCCTCTTAGTGAATATGAGCAGCGGAAAGGAAGCTTTCAAGGGCACTTGGTGGTTAAAAAACATTCCCCGACGATTTCACCATCAACTTAAAAAATAAAACCAACACTACCGAAATTATGCCTTAATAAAGCCCTACAACTTCATCACATACACTCCCTACCCACGAAAGGCCTCTTTAACTTTCTAAGGGACTCATATTCAAAAGAAGTTTTTTAAAGAATAGTGGGAATAGTATATGTCTGGGTCACCTTATCTATCACATAGGCCCTGCAAAGTAATGAATCCGTATCCGTATCCCATTTCTGGTATACTGATGGTTTCAAGTTCGACGATGTGACAATGTTGAGGCTTGTATATTTGGGCCTACAGAGGTACCAAAAACTTGCAACAATAGGTGTCAACCATATTTAATGCGGACATCGTTGCAGTTGAAACCTATGACCCCGCGTGTCTTCGTAGAATTTGATTGTGGCCGTTGATCGGTCATCGGCAAAGTCCACGAAGACCGCGTGCAGTGGCTTGTGTGATCAATTTAAAAATTAGTTTTCTTTAGAAGTGTTAAAAACATAACAAAAAAACGAACTTATCTCAACTAATCCTTTACAGTTTAAAGGTGAATAAGACTAGACTGAACCTAATAAAGCTTGGATTGTGGCCTAATAAGTGAAGCATATGGCATTCAAATGTCCCCACTTTTATCCATACCCACTTTTTAATGGCCTGAAATTAATTTTTTTTTCGCACACCAATTTTAATCAATTACCTTCACTCGAATTTTTGGCCACTTTACAAGCGATAGTGAAATATTACATATATGTATGTATGTGAGTATGCAAGTAAGCAAGTAGAAACGTACTCATTTTGCTTTTTTCAAATCAGTTTTTCTTTACTTTGTTGCATTGAAATGCAAATATACACATATCAATGTACGTAGACGATGGATAATTTATTGCTTCACGTTAAGTATCACTTTCAATTTTTACGCTTTCATTCCATCGCTCATTCAGTGCATTTTCAATGCATTCAAAAAATTTTTTATGATTGTCTGGTCTTTTGACAGCTTTGGCGGACATTAAACAATTATATACTCATTTATTGTATGTATGTATATGTTTTTATTGACATACTTTTACATGTGTGTGTGTGTGTGCATATGCAGAGACTGACTGATTGATTGGGTTTTTATTCCAACATTTCAACTTAAATTCAGAAATACATACATACAAATGTGGTAATGATTTCCGAATGACTGCAACGTGCCTTTGAAGTGTTGCAGCTGTGTAACCGACAATTTGCGGCAGCCATCTGCAATATGGCATCATGGTGGTCAATTTAAAATGTGTCAATTATATTCAATAATGATACCTTGACAATGTGTACAGTGGGCCTAGCGCGGACAAATGTAGTGCATAAATCTGTGAAACATCCTTTTACATAGAAATCTTTGAAAATCAGTTGTTTATAAACAGCATGGACCAGCGGGGGGCTGAGATCAAGAAAAAGGTCGCCAAATCATCAATAACAGTGACTATGACTGATTAAATACATACTTAGGTTACGTTATGCATAAAAAATTTCTACTTCTTGAACCAGTTCGTGGAATCTACAACCTTTGACTTTTGCCGTATTCAAAAGTGTGCAATTGCGTTTAGGTCATCTAAAAATATTATAGCCAGGAATTCTTGTATTTTCCTGCATAGTTCGATTACCAACGCGGAGTAAGTGCTTGATTTGTTTCGGCTCTTCTCCATCGGGTCAGCTCCTGCAGGCATTTGGCATGTTTTACCCGTACTATAAAGTGACTTACATATGTCCTGTGAGCAAGCTAATAGCCTTTCTGTTGAGAGTGAGATCTTCTGTTTCTCTGGTCACGTTTCATTTAGGCCACGTAAGCTTCATTGTACTGCAGGTTTCGGTGCGTTCCCATCAAGTACCCGTTTCTTAAAGAAAACTTTCAATTAGCAGGAAACGTGTGGCATATTTATCCTCTTACAGACTGGTGAATGGAAGCACCAGTTATTTTCAAAGGGGGAGTCTTATACTTTCTTGAGAATAGTACCAGTCCAAAAAGCGTCTGTGAAACTTGACTGCTTACCGAAAGTGAAAGAACATCCGCATACGCGATAACATTACAGCCTCCCCCGCTGATGTTATACAGTAGTGTGTTTATCAAAGCTGCCCAAAGAAGAGGGTATGGGACTAACCTTTCGGGCTGTCCCTTCTTGACGAACTGGTCAACGATCAGTCAGCTGCGCTCGTACCAACCGCATTTCAGATATGGACCTCTAACAGTCTCCCCATTACCATCAGTCAAAATTACTATAGAGTACTGGTTGTGAATTCTGAGACACCTTCCTTGGAAATAACCTCCACTTTCGATTATCTCCAACTCTAAGAGTTGTGATTAACACTCCCTTGATAAAAGTATGCAGCCACACTGAGCTTTGCTGTAATTTTTGATGCAACTATATGAGGGCGATGCGATCCGTGCTTACTAATTTATAATGCCTGAATGTTCCCACAGACCAGATAACCCTATCCGTAGTGAAAAAGGGTTTCAATTACATGTTGCTCCTCTGTGTTTGTGTGTGCTTAGAAGTAGACTCATAGACTCCTCGTCGGTCCCTTTAAGGATCCTGTTGAGAGTATCTTCCCCACCCTGAGTACTTCTGAGATAGACTACACGCCGTCACAGCAGCCTTTCCATTGTGTTCTTTTCGACCTTCGTAGGAGCTTTTTGTACTCCCGTATGGTTTAATTTGTCACCCACTATTCACCAGCCTAAATGCCTGGTTTAGGACTCTTTTGCAGTTCTTGCGTGTTTTTTTTTTTTGTTTGTTTTTTTCACTCTACCAGGGCGGATTTTTCTTCACCCAAAGTTTCTTTTTGGGGCATCACTGTGAAGCTATGAACTCGTATATATGTGTTTGAAAATCGCAGACGTAGAGAAAAATGATTAACATTTGTAACGACTAGGTGATTCTGCAAGCTTAAAGTCAGTTCGCTCAACTTCAAGCGGCTGGACCTTTTTTGAGTATTTATTCAATTATTGCGACACACTGTGCCGCACTTTTGTCAATTTAAGGCTCATTGTATGTCAACGGCTCAATTGTAATATTTGATTGACTTTTGTTCACACTATCTGATTTAATTTATTAACAAAAATAATTCAATAAATTCCTTTCTCTCTTTGGACTTAATAATAGCAGCGTATGTGACATTGCAGTTCCTTATTGTAATGGGTAATATTAATATTAAAAGCGTCGTTTCATTCATTTACTCGCGCGAATTTCTTAATGGCATCAACGACAAAAGCTTTTCACATAAAGGAAATTAAAAAGCACGAAAGAAATTGATTTCCAACACTCCTTACAACACAAGCTTACGATTGCGCTCGCGAAAGCTTAACAAAAAATTAACCTATTTTGAATAATGACAGGGA